ATCCTTATCCCTTCGTTCTCAATGCCAGCACGAAGGCAGACCGCACGCTCCGCCTGCGACTTCGCGCTGGCGAGCGAGCGTGCCTCCTCCGATGGCGCTCGCCCATGCATCGCTGTACTTCCTCCTCTTCTTCGCAGCCAACCTTGGTAGCTTCCTCCTCTCCTCCACTTCCCTCTTCCTACCTTCTTGGCTGGCGACGGTAGGGGCCGAAGCTCGGAGGTCGCCGCAGTGAGGCTAGGGCTGGAGCTCGCCCGCATGGTGGTGGCAGGGCCAGACTGCAAGAGCACGCACGCACAACGGCGGCACGGCCAGAGTTGCGTGATGAGGCTGGGGCCGGACCCTGGAGCTCGCGTGGCAACGATCGCACTGGACCCCAGTTCTCTTCTTCCTCGACGCTGGCAGTCGCTCCCCTTCTTCATCACCCTTCTCTTCCAGCAAGCTCACCACACATCACACAAGCGCTGAGCGAGCCATCCCACCTGGGATGACTCTGTCCGCTAAAAAAACAGGGACGTGGAGTCACGGCATCTCCAGAGAATATACCAAGTGGGACGTCCCTGACCCCAGCAATCCTCCCAACCAAACACTAGGGAAAATGGGTCCATCCCATCCTGACTCCAGATATCCCACCATCCAAACACTGCCTAATGGCCCATAGGATTGGATCAAAAGTAGCTCATATTTTCTAGAGGCATTGGTCCGATACCGTCGGTCCACAAATCCAAAGCCCAAACCATAGCTTTTGAAGCAGTTCCTTGCACATCCATCACATGCAACAAAATGACCTCTTCTCACCAGGCTATAGACCCATCCAAGCCGATCCAAGAGATCATACCTCATTAACGGCCCACGGGATGTGCAAGATCCAAGATATGGGCCTGTGAGCTCATGAACTCTTGTCATTCTAATAAATTCTTACCTTATCAAAGAGCTGGTCGCCCTCCTCTTTTTTTCTTCTCAGAAGGCTCACTAGAACCACATAAGAAGAAATATCATGATAATTATGGTTTCACCTTTTTATGTATATAATGTAATCACCATTTGAGTGTTTCACAGGGGGTGAGCACCCAAATTCTTCACATGTGGAGTTGCCCTATGTATAAGATCATTGTCTTCCTAAGCAGTGGTGCCTTTTTTTTATTCGGGGACATATTGGTGGCTTGCACTTACATGCATGACTCCACGTTAGCGGTGCATAGGGTTGTGTTACACACACTACCTCACTAAGCAGTAGTGCCTTTTCTTTGATTCAGGGACATATTGGTGGCTTGCACTCAAATAGCCGTGGAGAGTAACACTTGCATGAGTTACACATAGGTTGCATGCATAACTCCACATTGCTTAGTTGCAAAAAAAACTCCACATTGCTTATGGTTTTCGGACACACTACCTCACTAAGCGATGGTGCCTTTTGTTTGATTCGAGGACATATTGATATTGGTGGCTTGCACTCAAATAGCCATGGAGAGTAACACTTGCATGAGTTACACATAGGTTGACTCCACATTGTTTATGGTTGTGGGACACTACCTCACTAAGCGGTGTTGCATTTTCTTTGTTTCTAGAACATGTTAGTGACTTCGTTGAATTCCCCATGCATTTTGACCTTCTATATTTCTCTCACTTAAGTGTCCACTTGTTCAAGGTCTCATGTTCTACAAACAACCTTATAAACTATTTTTAATAGACAATATTGTTACAAACTTATAGGACACACACCACCTTTCCAAGCAATATATCTTGGAGTTGCAATTATCTAGGGTCTTGCTTAGAGGGAAGGACAACGGCGATAGGGTGGCCCAGTAGAGTTGGCAAGCATGGGGGCTGTGAGGAAAGGTTATGGTGACGTCACTAGCCCAGGGGTTGGTTGGTACCAAGGCAGGAGCGTCACACTTATAACTTCACAAAGATAGATTAGTGTGAAAATGGGTGGGGATAGATCTAGTGGTGGGGTGCCATTAAAGACGACAAAGGATGCAGTGAAGAAACTCACTAGAGTAAAAATATAGAAAATAGGATGATAGAGGTGCATGCTGCAGGTCATGGTCACCATGTGTAACACCCTAGCCCGTTAGAAGCCTGTAGTAGTTGTGTTGTTGGCGCATGTGGCCCATGTGGCACATGAGGAGTTGTGGTTTGTGGGTTTAGTACCACCTTAGAAGTTTAGGAGGGTGAGGGCTAGCTTATAATCTTTGTTTTTCCAAGCGTACCACCTTCGCGTTAACCCTTACACGAAGTGAGGACGAAAGTGAAAGAGATGTGCTATGTGTATGCATGCCTGCTCCACATGAGGAGCTAGGCCATATAATCAGATTTTGGATGCGGGGTGTTACATATGGTATTCAGAGCATCAACCCTGGCTCTGCTACGTATATGGTGAGCTACCGAGGGCGTCAACCCTTAAGGGGGGGGGGTGAATGTAACAGCAACATCCTAGCCCATTAGAAGCCTGCAATAGTTGTGTTGTTAGCGCATGTGGCCCATATGGCACATGAGGAGTTGTGGTTTGTGGGTTTAGTACCACCTTAGAAGTTTAGGAGGGTGAGGGCCAGCTTATAATCCTTGTTCTTCCAAGCGTACCTCCTCGGGGTTAACCCTTTTACATAAAGCGGGGATGAAAGTGAAAGAGAGGTGCTACGCGTATGCAGGCCCGTTCCACATGAGGAGCTGGGCCATATAAGCAGACTTTGGATGCGGGGTGTTACAATTGGTATTTAGAGCATCAACACTAGCTCTGCTGCATATATGGTGAGCTACCGAGGGTGTCAGCCCTTAAGGGGGGTGAATGTAATACTAACACCCCAACCCATTAGAAGCATGTAGTAGTTGTGTTGTTGGCGCATGTGGCCCATGTGGCACATGAGGAGTTGTGGTTTATGGGTTTAGTACCACCTTAGAAGTTTAGGAGGGTGAGGGCCAGCTTATAATCCTTGTTCTTCCAAGCGTACCACCTCAGGGTTAACCCTTTTACACAAAGCGAGGACAAAAGTGAAAGAGAGGTGCTACGCGTATGCAGGCCCATTCCACGTGAGGAGCTAGGCCATATAAGCAGATTTTGGATGTGTGGTGCTACAGTTGGTATTCAGAGCATCAGCACTTGCTCTATTGCGTATATGGCGAGCTATCGAGGGCATCAACCCTAAAGGGGGGGGGTGAATGTAACACTAACACTCCAACCCGTTAGAAGCCTGTAGTAGTTGTGTTGTTGGCGCATGTGGCCCATGTGGCAAATGAGGAGTTGTGGTTTGTGGGTTTAGTACCACCTTAGAAGTTTAGGAGGGTGAGGGCCAGCTTATAATCCATGTTCTTCCAAGCGTACCACCTTTGGGTTAACTCTTTTACACAAAGCGAGGACAAAAGTGAAAGAGAGGTGCTACGCGTATGCAGGCCCATTCCACGTGAGGAGTTGGGTCATATAAGCATACTTTGGATGCGTGGTGTTACAGTTGGTATTTAGAGCATCAACACTTGCACTGCTGTGTATATGGTGAGCTACCGAGGGCGTCAGCCCTTAAGGGGGCTAAATGTAACACTAACACAATAGCCCGTTAGAAGCCTGTAGTAGTTGTGTTGTTGGCGCATGTGGCCCATGTGGCACATGAGGAGTTGTGGTTTGTGGGTTTAGTACCACCTTAATTAGAAGTTTAGGAGGGTGAGGACCAACTTATAATCCTTGTTCTTCCAAGCGTACCACCTCTAGTTAACCCTTTTACACGAAGCGAGGACGAAAGTGAAAGAGAGGTGCTACGCGTGTGCAGGCCCGTTCCACGTGAGGAGCAAGGCCATTGTAACACCCGTGTTTTTGCATCATATTAAAATCCACTAAAAATTTAAACTTTTTAAAACTTTACAACAAATTAAAAACTTGACTATTTAGTTTCCGCACAACCATTTTAAATAAAATATACTTTCTAAAAACCCTTGCATCAAAATTCACCATATGCATTTATGTGTCGCATAGGATTTAGTCGTAGCCATAGGAATATTTTCTAGGATTAGAAAGATCGCTTCGCATTTGAACTTCGTTGCCTGCACTTATTTGCTTGAATGCTTGCTTGATTGCTTGTGTGCTTTTCTGGAATTTATTTGCGGCACCAAAATAACTTCCCTTAATTATCAATTGCATTCTTGAATTATTTAAAACCTTTCTTTATATTATAGAGGTAGATAATACATCATAGATATAAACAATATTTTAGTCTCTGCTTAATTAACTAGGAATTATAATAGCCATCGTATTTGATAAATTATAGGTTTAATTATTCCTTCTAAGTTTCCCTTCAAAATTTACATTTGGTTAATTTATAGGAAAACCTAGAAATATAAGTATATATATATAGAACTACTGTTCTGCAGCTGGCTATAAAATAACTTATTCTGTGGTCACTTTGAGTTACGATAATTACTATGCTAATTCAGGAGATTCTGGTAGCTCCTTACTATGTGATTTACTATAACGTTACGGTAAATATCCTCATGTGTTATAGTAACACAACTATCGTAAATATGTATTCACTTTATCGTAAATTAGTATATAAAATTATCGTAAATGGAGGTGGCTACAGAATAACTTATTCTGTAGCTGGCTACTGAATATACTCTCCATATATATATATATATATATATAGAGAGAGAGAGAGAGGGAGAGAGAGAGAGAGAAAATACATCATCTGCCCATTTAGAAAATAATAGATGTAGGTGTATACATATATTGTTACATTTCTTAATCAATTACGAACTATTAAAGTCATTACGATAAATACATAATAAAAATGAGAGTAGTTTATTGCCTTCCTTAAAACTAGCAAATACATCGTATAGGTATACATACATACACACACACACACACATATATATATATATATATATATATGCATTGTTACCTATTTATTATTTACAAAATACAAAAATGTCTACTGTGTACTCCCTTCCCTCCCGTGCTGCCGCTCAGCCCAGCATGGCCGCAGCCCCTCTCGGCTTGGCCCAGCCAGCCCGGCCCGTCACGGGCAACGGCCTTGCCCGCGCTGCCCGCGCCGTGCCGCACCGCGATGCCGCGTCCGCGCCCAGTGCCGCGGAGCCGCGTCGCCTTCGCATGCGCCGCGTCGAAGCCCGCGTGGACGCCACGTCTTCTCCGCTGGGTCAACGACGAACTGTGCACAAGTCGCCACGGCCGCCGACCGACCGCCTCCCACCGTTGACGTCGTACGCCGACGGATGAGGATCTCAGCTGTCGTCGTGCTGTGCCCTGCCGCCATTGCCGGAAAATATCTCCGTTGCCGGAAATATCTCCCCCGCCGAACCGCGTCGCCGCGGCTATAAATACCGGCCGCCGCTGCCGTCGAGGAGCACCTCACCGAGCTCGGGTCCCGTCTCCACCCTTCCCTTCTCTTCCTCCTCTGCTCTCTACTCTGCTCGGAGCCGAGCGGGCCGAGGCAGTCGCCGTCGCGCCCGCCTCTGCTCGTCGGAGCCGAAGCCGTCGCCGCCGCCGTCCCGCGCCCCGCTCTGCTCCCTCCGCCTTGCCTTCTTTCTCCCTCTCTTCCCTGCTCTCTGCTTTCTTTCTTCCTCTGCTTCTCTCCGACGGGCACGAGTCGCCGCGCCGCCGTACGGTTGGCTCGCCGGGGGCTCACTTCGCCGGAGCCCTAGGCCACCGCCGGCGCCCGGTGCCTTGCGCCCCTGTTCCTTCTTCCCTCTTTCCTCCGATCTCGCCCTCCTCTGCCGTCAGCCACGGCGCCGGAATCGCGGCCACCATCCGCCGCGCCGAGCATGGCCAAAGCCGTCGCTGGCGCCCTGCTCCCTCGGGACTCCCTCCATCCCCTCCCTCTCTCTCTCTATCGCTCTCTCTGTTTCCCTCGCTCTCGCTCTTTCCTCTTTTCTCTTGCCGCTCGTTGACCGCACGAAGGGGAAGGGAGCGGACCGAGCAGAAGCCAGTAGCGAGCGTCGGGCACGTCGCTGCAACCAGTAGAGACGCGCCACCTCGCCTCTTGGGGCCCACACGGCAGTCACAGCAGCAGTCTTCTCTCTCTCCCTTTCTTTCGTGGACACAGTTCACGTGAACTCAAGGGAGAAAGGGGACTGGTCCATAGATCTGCATAGGACCATGGGCACAGTGCTAGTCAGCCCTGCCAGTTGACTAGGCCCACGCGTCAGCCGCAGTGAAAACGCTAGGTGCACCCGGGAATCGTACACAGGATATTAAAAGGTAATCTTATTAATTACAGAAAAATTCCCAAATTTTTTTAAAATAAACTAGAGTCACCCTAGATCATACCTAGATAGTTTCCACTTATTTTCATTATATAAAATTGTATAAATAATTCCCATGTTCCGTTCCATTCGCGATTAGTAGGTAGACTTTAATAATTTATAGCTCATTCATCTTAATTCCGAATTCTGTAATACTTTCACCATAAATCTTCTAAAATAAAACCCTACATAATAATACCACTTTCCCTAATTTTTTATTTCCATTTAAATTCTAGTTTGATTGCTTTTCTTTCTATATTTAAGTAAAATAGTAATTATAGTAATAGCCCTTCGCCGTAGTAGTAGTAGTAAACCCCGTATATTCGTGTATGTGTATGTACCATGACACATACTCGAATATATCCGTACCCAATCACCTAAACTAAGTAGACATCTATACACACAAGGATATGCCCGATACCCGGGTATACGCCTATGTATGGCTAACCCTAGCGACCTAGCTACTCAAATCTACCTAACCATGGGTATATACATGAGCCTATGCGTATGTGCCACTAACCTTAGCCGTGACCTAGCCACCTAATTAACCCTAGGCACATATATATGCATGTGCGTATGTGTCGCTAACCCGGTGGACCTGTAGAAGTCAGACAGACATCTAGACCTTCTCTTTCAGGTTCACATAATAGTGAACCCTAATAATATGGTCTGGTTTTCCATCAAACCAACCACCCACCTTAACCTAACCCGTAGAAGCCCTACCTTCTGGATGGAATACCTCCATCCAAACCTTACTTCAAATTGACACAATAATGATAGCCTAAGTAACAACCCATCACCCAATAGGACCAACACATCTAGGATCGTTGATTGCTTATGCTTGTTTTACTTGCCTTGCTGGTTATTTTCCTTGTTTGTGTTTCTTGTTTGTCGACGCTAGACCGCGTAGGATAGAAGACGTGAGAGAACTCGATGGAGTCCAGAAGACAGGAACAGAAGACATAGGAATTGGACGAGGATATAATCGTCAGCAAATGGAGGCAAGTTCTAACACCCACCTAACCCCTCCCTCTATATCACATGCCACTTCTTAACCCCGCACCCTTCCACCACCACCACATATTGCTAGCCTCCACCATAAACCTTTCACTATCCATCTCCACTAAATAATAAACCCAACCTATATTAATTGAAACCCCTTATAAATTAATTATGATGGTGTGATTATTAATAAGGTAATGGTTACCTTGATATGATATGAGTAATATGAACTTGATAATAATAACTATGGAACCTAAAATTGATAAAACTTGACTAAACCTCGACATGGGGCGAGTGGGGGTAATTTATGGAGATAAATTGCCTTGGCAGGAATGCCTTGTGAGGATTTCTATGGGAGATACTCACCTCGGTCACATAAGAACCGGTTCGTAGTCCCTCTCACCTAGTGAGATATTACGTACAACCACATGTCTATATGGGTAGACTGAATCTCACACCCCGTTAGATAGAAGTATAGTTTCTACTTGGAGGCCGATGTAGGCAGTGGAATATCAGGAGCCGACACGGGGATAGGTTTTCTTCCATGGTCCGGTTGGCGTGGACGCTATGTGATCTTCCACGTTAAGCTTTTGTTTTTGGCCGCGTTCGAGCCCTTGTTTTCTTGGCCGTGCTCGAGCCATGTTTTTCTTTTGTGATGATTCAGTATCATCATGTTTCGGGGGATTTGGTATCTTTCTGGTTTGTGTTTCCAACCCCTGAGAAGCCATGGAAGAGATTATATGGAAATCTAGGTTAGCTTCTAAACGGGTATGGGATCTCGTTAGACCTATCTAAACCATGACGACGGTGTCGGACTGTGTCTATCGTGTGGAAAAATTTATACACCTCTGCAGAGTTTCTCAAATCTATTCGAATAGCCATGTCCTTGGAATGGGCAAATGCTAGATGGGATACTATGATTAGACTACTACAACTTTGATAATCTGATAAGATGTATTTTACTAAATTGGTAATTATACTGAACAATGGAAACTGGTGAGAATGGTAATACTCTGCCAGGATCCAACTTATAATTATGACTACTCCACCCTACTACTTTACCCTTACCTATCCACCTCCACCACCATAATCCGCCCCCACATATAGCCTTCCTTTCCACTCCACCTCCACCTAAAATTAGGGCTTGCTGAGTACTTTATGTACTCAACCCTCTCCATTCCATGTTTTTAGGAGCATAGCTATAGGAGTACCTACCCCTATGGATCTTCTGGAGCTATGCAAGAATAGGATAACCAGGGTACACTTGAAGCTGAAGCCGTACGAGAGAGCTACGCTAGGATTACGACGTTACGATCTAGGAATACGTTTAAGGGATAAGTCTATGGTTACGTCTGCACTCCAAGTTGCCTGTACGAATGGAGCCACGTTGACAAAGGACTGCTGTCATAGAACTTTGATATACGATATAAGGCCAGTGGCCCAAGCTATGTAAACCCAAACCATATAACATGTTTTCCCCATTAGCGATAAAAGTATGGGTTTTTGATATCAATCTTGTTGAGTTGTGCGTATTAGCTACTAATCCAGGGACTGATACATACGCACAATGGACCTTAGAATTAGGGGGCCCGACAGCCATATAAGCAGATTTTGGACGCAGAGTGTTACACCATGGGTACTCACCGTTGTTGGCGAAGGAGCATTGGAGTAGAAGCAGCGATGACATCAGGCGTCGACGATAGTTTGAGCATAGAATAAATTAGGAGAGAAGAAGAGTAGAAGCAAAAATGACACCAGGTGTCGACGACAGTTTGACGATAGAATAAATCGGGAGAGAAGAAGGTATGGTGTGAAAGCTAGCCATTGGATTGGACAAAGAATCAACTACCCATAAATTTCGAGTGTGAGCAAAGCACTCCATTTATGCATTGCATTTAGGACTTGACTACAGTATGCGCGCGCAGGTGGATAATGTTCCGCACACACGCATTCTTCCTCCCCTCTCATCCGCACACATCCACCGCAAACACGCCTCCTTTTTCCTTGCCTCGCACGTGCCTGCTCTTCTTCCTCCCATGCTCCCCCGCCATCTCCTTACCCTGCCTAGCTCCGGCGACGTCCACGACGAAGGTACCTTCTTCCTCCTCGTAGCCCACCGTCTTGCCGTTCACCATCCCGCCATGATGCACTAGGGTTTCACCGAAGCTATGTGGCCGTGGCCGCGGCCGCGCGGAGCTCCGGCGAAACCCTAGTACGCCCGTGGCGGCCTCCTTCTTCCGTGGTGAGCTCCGGCCATGGCGCCCTCGCCCCGACTACCTGGCCACCTCCACTGCCGCTAGAACCCTAACACTGTCCTCCTGCCATCACCACCGCCTGGTAGACCTGCCTCCCCTCAGCCCCTTCTCTTCTAAGCCTGCCGGAGCTAGGAAGGAGGGAGGGAGAGAGAAGGCGTGGGGTCGCACCGTCGCGAGTGCGGCCTTCTTCTCAGGCGGCGGCCTTCTTCTCGGGCATGGGCGCATTGGATAACAGTGAACGATAGACGCGCGCATCCAATGGCCACGACGGGTGTGCGCACCGCGCCACTAGATCCTGCACTCTCGGAAACTAGCTTTTCCGTTGCATTTTTAGTTTTTCTTCGTCCACATTAAGAAATAGATCAAAACATATTATTGCTTGCCTTCTCCGATAGTAGAATACTTTTGTTACAATGCACTAGCTTGTCAAAGAACCTACATAAGGATGCTTATGTATTGTAATTTTGCCATCCAATTTCTTTGATTAAACTCCGTCACCTTCCATTATATAAATGTTTGTGGTAACTATGGAGTAGTTCAATATGGCTCAAATCAAGTTTAAGGTAAACGACCATAAACAAAATGTTATAATTCATCTGTAGTACATTTTAGGAAGTTCTTGCTCAGACAACATTATATGGGCAGTATATATGACAAGAGCCACAAAACAAAAGGTAAATAAAAAATAAGGTTTGGAGACAATAAAGTGGACTTTTAGCCCTCTAACCACATTATTTGTTTTCTAATTTTTTTTT